GAACCGAGTTATCTGACTGTCCTTTAGCATAACTTCTGACCTCGGGTGCGTATATTCAGGTGAGGAAAACCAGCACCACATGAAGAGTAACCGAGTTATCTGACTGTACTTTGACATAACTTCTGACCTCGGGTGCGTCTATTCAGGTGACGAAACGCATTAAGAAATACTGCATTAGTAACAGTTCTTCGAGCTGCAAAACGAAAAGCCAAGCATTATTAACATTAAACGAGAAGTTTTCCAGCTAGTTCTTACATCTAGTCTGTGGACTAAATGGCAAACCACCTCCGATCTTCGCGGCCTCAGTTGCAGTTATGGCTGACTAACGAAGGCAGATAGATCAGAAACAACCAACACAGTCTCTCTGGTATTTGTCGTCAATATTTCTAGAAACTCGAAAGAAGTACATAGATGCACATTTTTCAACCAAAACTGAGTGCTACTCATGTCGGAGCAGGCAGCGGAGGACGTTAAATTAGCTCAGCTGGTAGATGCCCGGTGGACGTCTGAACAGGTCTAGAGGGCAGGTTTTTGGTTCGTGATGTAAACATATTTTTTAGAATCTTTGAGCTTCACATTTGGTCACGGGGTTCGCTTTATGAAAACAGCATACTCGCACAATCCCATCAAGGTTTAATGAAAGTTGATGTAAGTGGAGGCTAGCGCACAGTTATGTAGGTCAACTGAAATGGAGAAAGTTGCATAAGAAGAGCTCTCTAACACAGAAGGGATATTACAGCCAGCTAATAATTTCTAGGCACAACGGCCTTCCTTGAATTGAGTAGGTTAATCTACGGAGATGTTTAATTTTGGCGTTACTCATCTGAACTTTCGAACTCTTGCTGGGATCCATTGTCATAAATAAGAGTGGCAACATCGCTGCCCTAAAAGGCAGCCCCACCTACAATTTAGTAAAATGGGTGTATTTGAAAATGAAATCTCTCCAAGACAATTCGATTGGCTTAGTCCATTTAGGCTCCCAATTCCTGGTAGAGCTCCATTGTCGGAGGATTCAATCGGGCGGCATTATGATCGCCCTTGAAGCGACGTCAATATTCACCTCAATCCCACCAACTTTGGTACAATGCATCTTACGCAGGAAACCTGAGGACTTATACGACGAAACCCAGCGTTCACTCAAAATTGAATTAGGCAAAAACACACCTCACCTTTGCGCAAGAAACCTATGAGCAGATCAAGGGAACTCCAGTGGGCTCCTCAAGCTCCGATAGAATTGTTCCGCAATATGGAAATGGTAAAAATGATTATGCGCTCTTAAATAAAAATGAGACGGTAGTAAATACCTCGGCGGCGAACAGTCCGAGCCAAATTTATACTCGTGTCGGAGGCAAGCAGCGGCAAAAGAGGGGATCGCGCTTTCTGAAGGGCCAGAAGGTATTTCCCGTTGCCGCAACCCACATCGGCGCCCCAGGCGCCTTCGGGTAGGATCTTCAAAAACTCCATAACGCCCGGCCAAGGGGCGTAGCGGGAGTCACTAAAGCTGCCCGCGATTTTGTCATAGACCTTGGAGGAGACATTGGAACTGTTATTGGCTCAAATTAGGCCGGCAGAGATAAATTATTGGGTACCTAACAAAGTTCAACGTTTTGGGTCAAAGTTGTCTGGGTAACATAGAAAACGCCGGAAAGGATGCAATCCATGTCAGAATGTAGGATAAGCCGGAAAAGACCTTAGTGCTGTTAGAAATGAATCAAGCTAAAACTTAGTCAACTGGTAAGAGGGCTTGAAAATATGCAAAAAGAACTACCCTGTCAACTGTTCATATTCTCGAAGCAAGATGAACTTAGACTAATGAGACTGCCCAAAAGAAGGTGTTGCAAACTTCAACCGCAACCTTCAGTTCAAGCATTACTAGAGGGAGGAGAGTCTTCAGTGACCGTCTGTGAATGCTTACCTCATGAACGTACAGGCGCTCCAACGCCGGAGCATCGAAGGTGCATTTCTCTGGATCCTAAAACGACCGTAAAGGGGTGACGCTAGTTGGTAAATAAGGCAATTTGAATAGTTGGAATCTTTACTAGGAGGTAAAATGGTAGGAAGTGTGTCTTCGCTGCAAATGTGGATGGTCTCATTGAAATAAGTAAACATATTACGTTAACGGACAAAATCTTACTATAAAGCAACAATAAATGAAGATAATCCGATTAATAATGCTCAGTGCACTGTCTGGCAACTTTCATTAAGATGT